AGCTGCTGTCCAGGCCAGATGGAAACTTAACGCTCGGAGGGAAAAGTTGTGCACAAAATAACCCCAGGAATTCCTGCGGGGACCCTGAGAGTCCCCGGACTCCTGGGTTCTCTCCCCGGCTCCGTGGGGGGAGCCCGGACACCTGGGTTCTATCCTTGGCTCTATCCTAGACTCCCTGTATCTCTCTGGGACTCAGTTTCCCCATCTCTATAATGGGCAAAATAACCTCGGTCGCAGTGGGGTGGACGCTGTTTGGCGCGGGGCTGTGTCTGGGCCGTGCCTGACATGACGGGCCCCAATCGCCTCCCCTGAGCCAGCCAGTCCCCGCCCTGGGACCGGATGGGAACCGGTGCCCCCCAGAGGGGACAGGCCCCATCTCCCGTCCCCAGGGCTCAACTCCTGAGGACTCTCTGGAGCGAGAAGCCGAGACTCAGAAAAGAAACAGTGTGAAGTCATGACCCCATTAAAGGAGCCAGGCCAGGAACCCAGGTGTCCTGGTGAAACCTCCTCCCCCCCCGCCCCTGAGAAATTACATCATCCAGCACTTCCTGTCCTAAACGCTTATGTGGCTGGCCAACAACCCCCGCGCCCCACCCCAGAGAGACTGGGTCTCAGCACTGGGCGAGGGGTCCCTTAGTAGCCCCAGATGACAGGATTAGGGGATTCTGAGGGAAACAGGGCATGGGGGTGGGGGTTGGGAGCCAGGACTCCTGGGTTCACTCCCCAGCTCTGGGAGGGGAGTGGGGTCTAGTGGTTACAGCAGGGGTGGGCTGGGAGTCAGGACTCCTGGGTTCTCTCCCCGGCTCAGCGTGCGCTCTCTCCTCACCCGCAGACCAGGCCTGGGGTTTCTCCTTCCATCCCCCCCACCCACACCCCAGCGATGACCAACCAGGTGGAGTTGGCCCTGGGGGATGGGCCCCACCTCAGCCTGGACCCGCTGCCCAAGGCCTGCCTGGCGAAGCGCTGCGGCTGGCTCACCCGCAACCTGCTGCTAACCCTCACCATCCTGGGTAGGTGGGAGCCCCGGGGGCCTGTAGGGGGCGCTGGGGTGCGAGGAGCAGGGTGGGGGGCCCAGCAGGGGGCGCTGGGGTGCGGGGGATGGGCTGGGGCCAGTAGGGGGCGCTGGGTGTCGGGGGTGGGGTGGGGCCCAGCAGGGGGCGCTGGGGGGCAGAAGGTGGGGCAGGAAGCCCAGAGCTAGGGGGCAGGGGCAGAAGGTGGAGTAGGGGACCTACCCATTCCCCCCCCCCCAGCCTTCCCCCACATCTCTCCACCCCCACCCCCCGTCTCTATCATTACACACAAACAGGTGATCAATGGGTGGGGGATCAGATGTGACCCCCCCACACCCAGACCACGGGGCGGCATGTGATTATCGTCTCATTGTGTCGTTTACGTCACTACCTGGGAGGAAGAAAATTAAACATGGTCTAATCCCCCCCCTCCCCAGCGGCTGTTGGCTTGACCCCCCACCCACGCGGTCACCTTCCCCCCCCCCCCCGCAAAGTGGGCGGGTTCACATATGGGATCATTGTAAGCCCCAATGCAGGCTAGGGGGCGCTCTCCCCAGAGAGGGGGTCCCCATATACCCACGCCCCACCCCAGAGCCAGCCGCATCCCAGCGCCCGGCGAGGGGTCCCCGGATACCCAGTCCCCACGCCCCACCCCAGAGCCAGCTGCATCTCAGTGCTGGAGGGGAACCCTATTGGGGGTCGTGCTGAGGTTCCGTCCCCTCGTCTCTAGGGGTCATTCTGGGCGCCGTGTTTGGGGGCCTCCTGCGGCTGCTCCCCCCGCTGGACGAAGACCTGCTGGTCCTTATCTCCTTCCCTGGAGACATCCTCATGCGGATGCTGAAAATGCTCATCTTGCCCTTGGTCATCTCCAGCCTCATCTCAGGTGAGGGCGGGGGGCCGGGGACAGCGGCTGGGGCCAAAAGCTGAATCTCGTTCCCCCTCATGGGATTCGAACTCGCGGCGCTCGGGAGCAGCACAGGGCTGTGGTACCCAGCCTAGCCACCGGGGGAGAGGGGTTAGACCGACCACCCACAGGGTGCTGTGCTGCATGGAGCAGGGCGAGGGACTCATTATGGGGCATTGTCCCTGTATACCCAGCCCCCCCTGCCCCACCCCAGAGCCAGCCGCATCCCAGCGCCCGGCGAGGGGTCCCCGTATACCCAGCCCCCACGCCCCACCCCAGAGCCAGCCGCATCCCAGCGCCCGGCGAGGGGTCCCCGTATACCCAGCCCCCAGCCCCACCCCAGAGCCAGCCGCATCCCAGCGCCGGGCGAGGGGTCCCCGTACGCCCAGCCCCCGCACCCCACCCCAGAGCCAGCCGCATCCCAGCGCCGGGCGAGGGGTCCCCGTACGCCCAGCCCCCGCACCCCACCCCAGAGCCAGCCGCATCCCAGCGCCGGGCGAGGGGTCCCCGTATACCCAGCCCCCGCGCCCCACCCCAGAGCCAGCCGCATCCCAGCGCCGGGTGAGGGGTCCCCGTATACCCAGCCCCCGCGCCCCACCCCAGAGTCAGCCGCATCCCAGCGCCGGGTGAGGGGGTCCCCGTATACCCAGCCCCAGTGCCCCACCCCAGAGCCAGCCACATCCCAGCGCTGGGCGAGGGGTCCCCGTGTAGCTTTCGCTCTGTTCCTGGGCAGGGCTGGCAGGACTGGATGCCAAGTCGAGCGGGCACATGGGCACCCGGGCCATGGTGTATTACATGTCCACCACGGTGCTGGCCGCCGTGCTGGGCGTGATCCTGGTGCTGTCCATCCACCCGGGCAACCCCAAGCTGAAGACGGCGACGGGCGCGGCGGAGCGGAACGAGGAGGTCTCTAGCCTGGACGCCTTCCTGGATTTAATCCGGAACCTCTTCCCCGAGAACCTGGTGCAGGCCTGTTTCCAACAGGTAGGGGGCGCTCGCCCAGCAGGCAGTGCCCCCAGGCAGCACTAGGGGGCGCTGGGCTGCAGAGTGTGGGTCCGGAGGGCTCAGCAGGGGGCGCTCTCCCCAGGCAGGCAATGCCCCAGGGAGTCACTAGGGGGCGCTGGGCTGCAGGGTGTGGGGCCGGGGGGCTCAGCAGGGGGCGCTCTCCCCAGGCAGGCAATGCCCCTGGGAGCACTAGGGGGCGCTGGGCTGCAGGGCGTGGGGCCGGGGGGCTCAGCAGGGGGCGCTCTCCCCAGGCAGGCAATGCCCCAGGGAGTCACTAGGGGGCGCTGGGCTGCAGGGCGTGGGGCCGGGGGGCTCAGCAGGGGGCGCTCGCCCAGGCAGGCAGTGCCCCCAGGCAGCACTAGGGGGCGCCGGGCTGCAGGGTGTGGGGCCGGGGGGATCAGCAGGGGGCGCTCTCCCCAGGCAGGCAATGCCCCAGGGAGTCACTAGGGGGCGCTGGGCTGCAGGGCGTGGGGCCGGGGGGCTCAGCAGGGGCGCTCTCCCCAGGCAGTCCGGGCTGAGCCTGGTTCCCTTGCCCAGGTCCAGACGGTGTCCCAGAAGGTGCCGGTCCCGCCCCAGGTGGTGCGGCAGGAGAACATCACCCGGCTGCTCCCGGGGAACCTGTCCCTGCTCAACGCCACCGTCACAGAGATCAACCTGGGGCCCAGCACCCTCACCCAGAAACGGCTGGAGTTCAAGGCGGGCATGAACGTGCTGGGTAAGTCCCCGGCGGGCCCCGGCTGCGGGGAGGCTCGCAGCAACCGGAGTGCCCATCTGAGGGCACTGTTGGGGGAAAGCTCACAGCGCTGGGGCACTGCTGTGGGGAAGCTCGCAGCAACCGGAGTGCCCGTCTGAGGGCACTGCTGGGGGAAGCTTGCAGTGCTGGGGCACTGTTGCGGGGAAGCTCACGGCATTGGAGCACTGCTGCAGGGAAGCTCGCAGCAACCAGAGTGTCAATCTGAGGGCACTGCAGGGGGGATGCATGCAGCACTGTGGCACTGCTGGGGAGAAGCTCACAGCGCTGGGGCACTGCTGGGGGAAGCTCGCAGCACTGGGGCACTGCTGGGGGAAGCTCGCAGTGTTGGGACACTGCTTGGGGAAGCTCGCTGCGCTGGGGCACTGCTGGAGGAAGCTCGCAGCATTGGGACGCTGCTGGGGGAAGCTTGCAGCGTTGGGGCACTGCTGTGGGGAAGCTCACTGCACTGGGGCACTGCAGTGGGGAAGCTCGCAGCATTGGGACAGTGCTGGGGGGAAGCTCGCAGCATTGGGGCACTGCTGGGGGAAGCTCGCAGCATTGGACACTGCTGGGGGAAGCTTGCAGCGTTGGGGCACTGCCGTGGGGAAGCTCGCTGCACTGGGGCACTGCAGTGGGGAAGCTCGCAGCATTGGGACAGTGCTGGGGGGAAGCTCGCTGCGTTGGGGCACTGCTGGGGGAAGCTCGCAGCCCACCACGGCCCTGACACACACACCCCGCTCCCTCCCCACAGGGCTGATCGGGTTCTTCATCGCCTTCGGGGTGGTCATGGGGCAGATGGGGGAGCAGGCCAAGCCCATGGCCGACTTCTTCAACATCCTCAACGAGATCATCATGCAGCTGGTCTCCATGATCATGTGGTATGGGGGGGGAGCCTGGGGGGCGGGGGTATGATGGGGGGAGCCTGGGGACAGGGCTATGGTGGGGGGCAGGGAGGAGCCTGGGGGACGGGGGTATGATGCGGGGCAGGGGGTAGCCTGGGGGTGGGGGTATGATGGGGGGCAGGGAGGAGCCTGGGGGCGGGGCCATGCTGGGGGTCAGGGAGGAGCCTGGGGGTGGGGGTATGATGAGGAAAGGCTGTGGGGAGAGGTGTCACATCTCATCGCCCACCCCACTCTTTAGCTGACCTGGGGGGGGGTCCTCAGGACACCTCTCACTGTCCCTCCCCCACTATCTCCCCCCAGGGCCACCCCTCGCAGCCTTTCCCCCCTCACAAACTACTTCCCCCAATTCTCCCCATGCATGAGTCCCCCCACATGCCCCCAGCCCCTCCCCCACCCCCCATCTCCCTTACATCCCCTCCTCCTCTCAGCCCCATGGTCCCTGTCATGGAGTGTGGGGGTGTCAGGGCCCTGCACCCCCACTTCCTGCCATGCACCGGGACTCTCCGCCGGCCGGGAACACAGACGGTTTATTAGCCGACAGGAACAGCCCAAACCAGAGCTTGTGGGTACAGACCAGGAGCCCTCAGTCGCGGGGGGGGGGGAGGGGGATAGGCCATCCGTTGCCAGGAGACAGGGCATCGGCCATTCCCCTGCCCTCTCGGGCTCTGCACCAATCACACCCCGTTATCCCACCCCCTAGATCCTTGAGAATAGCATAGGGGAAACTGAGGCACCCACCCAGTATTCAGAGAAAACATTAGGAACATTCCCACGTCATCACTGGCCCCCCTCAGCCCCCACCTCATAGTCTCCCTTCCTCACTGTCCCCTTCACCTTCTCCCTGCCCCACCCCACGCAGTGTCGCCGCTCCCCCCACTGTCCCCTCTAGCCTCACCCCTCCCCTCACCGTCTCCCCCTTGCCACGCTCCTCAGGGTCTGCCCCCGGCTCCGCCCCACCCTTCACAGTCTCCCCCTGGCCCCGCCCCTCAGGGTCTCCCCCCGGCCCCGCCCCTCACGGTCTCCCCGGCCTCCCCCAGGTACTCGCCCTTCGGCATCGCCTCCCTGATCTGCGGGAAGCTGGCGGGGCTACAGGACCTGGAGCTGGTCGCCCGCCAGCTGGGCATGTACATGGTGACGGTGGCCCTGGGGCTGCTGCTGCACGGGGCCCTCGTCCTGCCCCTCATCTTCTTCGGGGTCACGCGCCAGAACCCCTTCGCCTTCTACGCCGGCATCTTCCAGGCCTGGCTCACCGCCCTGGGCACCGCCTCCAGGTGGGGGGCAGGGGGCACCGAGCGGGGGGCATTGGAGGCTCCGTGGATCTCTGCGGCCGGGCGGAGTTGAAGGGGATCCGGGGGGATCAGGGGCTACAGGGGGGTCAGAGGGATCTGGGGTATGGGGGTGTTGGGGACTATTGGGAGTGTCGGGGGGCTCCATGCTCCATGGATATCTCCCCCCAGCGCGGGGCCAGGGGATGTCGGGGGGTGTTGGGGAATGTGTGTGTGTCTCCACCCAGCGTGGGACTGGGGGATGTCGGGGGCTATTGGGGTGTTGGGCCATGCGTGTCTCCCCCCAGCGTGGGGCCGGGGGGTGTCAGGGGGTCTATCGGGGGGTGTCTGGGGGGCTATGGGGGCTATCCAGGGCTCCGTGTGTCTCCCCCCAGCGCGGGGACACTGCCTGTGACGTTCCGGTGCCTGGAGGAGAACCTGGGGGTCGATCGACGCGTCACCCGCCTGGTGCTGCCCATCGGCGCCACCATCAACATGGACGGCACGGCGCTGTACGAGGCCGTGGCCGCCATCTTCATCGCCCAGATGAACAACATCGCCCTGGACGGGGGGCAGATCGCCACCGTCAGGTGAGCCCCCCGGGCCCCCAGCTCCCCCAGATTCCCAAACTCCTGGGCCCCCAGACCCCGGACAGCGTTGCCGCCCCTTTGGAATCAGGCCGGGTCCCCCGGCGGCTACTGACCCCAACCCAGGAGATCGGCTGCTAAAAGTCCGGTGGCGCTGTGGGGTGAGGCGGGCTCCTGCCTGCCCTGGCCCCGCACCGCTCCTGGAAGTGGCCGGCACGGCCCCTGGTGTGTGTGTGGGGGGGTGTCTCTGCACTCTGCCTCCACCCTCAGCCCCGACTCCGCAGCTCCCATTGGCCAGGAGCTGCGGCCAATGGGAGCTACGGGGAGCGGTGCCTGCAGGTGCCCCCTCCTGCACCCCAACCCCCCTGCCCCAGCCCAGTGAAAGTGAGGGAGGGGAGGGGGGATGCGAGCGACGGAGGGAGGCGGGATGGAGTGAGCGGGGCGGGGCTTCTGAGAAGGGGGCGTGGCCTCGGAGAAGGGGCGGGGTCTATAAGGAGGGGCGGTGCCTCAGTGTAGGGGGCGGGGCCAGGGTGTTTGTGTGATTAGACCAGTGGCAACCCTATCCCCAGACCCCCGGCCCTCGACCTCCTGGGCCCCACAGCGGGGAAGGGTCCCCTGCCCCCTGCATTGACCCCCACCCCCCTCCCTGCCCCCTAGCCTGACAGCCACCCTGGCCAGCGTGGGCGCGGCCAGCATCCCTAGCGCCGGCCTGGTCACCATGCTGCTCATTCTGACGGCCGTGGGGCTGCCCACGCAGGACATTAGCCTGCTCATCGCCGTGGACTGGCTGCTGTGAGTGCCGGGGGGCGGGGCAGGGTGGGGCAGAAGGGGAGGGGTTAGGGGGCAGGAGGGATGGGGAGGGGTTAGGGGGCAGGGAGTGGGCAGGAGGGATGGGGAGGGGGAATTAGGGGCAGGAGGGATGGGAGGGAGTTAGGGGGCAGGGAGTGTGAAGGAGGGATGGGGAGGGTTAGGGAGCAGGGAGTGTGCAGGAGGGATGGGGAGGGGGAATTAGGGGGCAGGAGGGATGGGAGGGAGTTAGGGGGCAGGGAGGGGTCCCCCCATGTGGGTGCCCCCCAGCGCTGACCCCTGGCCCCACCCCCCAGGGACCGCCTGCGCACCTCCATCAACGTGGTGGGGGACTCGTTCGGGGCCGGCATCGTTTACTACCTGTCCCGGGCCGAGCTGGCGGCCGTCGACGCCCGGGCCGAGGGGCGCCCGCCCGAGCCCCCCAGCCCCAAGGTCCCGCCGCTACCCAACCACCAGGGGCCCCCCGAGGGCGCCGGGGTGGGGTACACGGCCCTGCCCGCCGCTGACAGCGAGGAGGAGGAGCAGGTGAGGCCGCTGTGCTGCGAGCTTCCCACAATAGTGCCCCCAGCGCGGCGAGCTTCCCCACAACAGTGCCCCCAGCGCTGCGAGCTTCCCAACAACAGTGCCCCTGGCGCTGCAAGCTTCCCCACAACAGTGCCCCCAGCGCGGCGAGCTTCCCCGCCACAGTGCCCCCAGCGCTGCGAGCTTCCCCACAACAGTGCCCCTGGCATGGCGGAGCTTCCCCACAACAGTGCCCCCAGCGCGGCGCGCTTCCCAGCCACAGTGCCCCCAGCGCTGCGAGCTTCCCTGCGACAGTGCCCCGGGTAATTTGGTTCCTGTCCCCAGCAGGCGGAGACGCCGTCATGGGAGCCGGGGGCCGAGGCCGAGGGGCCCGAGGGGTGGCCGGGCAGTGACCAGGAGGAGAAGGAAGAGGAGGAATAACCAGGCCCCGGCTGGAGCAGCTGCCACCAGCGGGGGGTGGGGGTGGGGGGTGGGAAGAGGGATTAATTCTCTGTATTCAGTTCTGCCCCAAATCACTGGGTGGGGGCCCCCCTCGTCCCCCCACCAGTGCTCTCTACTCAGCCCCCCCACGCCAGAGGGCCCCCCCCAGTGCCGGGCACGGGGTCCCCGTGTACCCAGCCCCTCCCCACCCAGAGGGGCCCGTCCCAGTGCCGGGCGAGGGGTCCCCATGTACCCAGCCCGCCCACACCCAGAGGGGCCTGTCCCAGCCCCAGACGAGGGGTCCCCAGCAGGAAAATTCCAGGTCTGTGCCCCCCCCCCGTCTAGCAGCTTTTCCTCCCATCCTGCCCCCCCTTTACAGAGGCTCCCAAAGGCCCAGCCCCTCCCTACTCTGGCCTTATCCCCCCCGCCCCCCCATTCACGCCAGCAGGGACTGACCCCTCCCCCCCCCAGCCATCAGGGGGCGGACAGACTGCCCCCCTCACCCTGGGGGGGCTGTTTGACTCATGCCCCCCCACCCCACTCCCTGGCTCCGCCCCGCTGAGTTCTGACCCCCGCCCCCCATCGTCACCAGCCCAGCAACACTGGGGGGGAACCTCAGGATTTGTAATAAACGACTGAAACCTGCCGCCAGCTTCGGGCTTGGCCCTGCTCCGTGTGGGGGGCGAATCATGGGGCGGGGCCTCTTCCAAGCTCCGCCTACAAGCAGGCCCTGCCATTGGACTCCTGATCTTTGCCCACCTCCCACCCCCCCACTTCTCAGATGGGGCGTGGACGGCTCAGGCTCTCGGCAAACCCAGGCAGCGGCGCTGTGTCGGTTACCCTGGGGTGGGGGCTCACAGCTGTGCGACAGGCTCAGTCCAACGCGGGGTGCGGGGGGGGGGGGTCTTTACACCCATGTTTTTTTAACGAAAGCTGAGTGGCCGGTGTCCAGGCATGGGGCAGCTGCTAGCACCGGCCACTGCGCCCAGCTCTGGGGTGACTCACGGTCCGCCAGGCCAGCTGTTGGGATTAAAGAGCTGAAAACTGGAGGAGTGGGGGAGCAGCTGGTGGAGGGGGGAGGAAGGGAGGGAGGTGATGGTTGGGGGGGGGTTGGTTGATCCCACCAGCTGGAAAGGAGTCTGCAGCCACTGGCTCTGGGGTGGAGCTGAGGTGCTGGGCAGATGTTGGCGGTGGGCGGGGGGTTAAATGGGATAATAAGCCACCAGGGCGTCAGCCGGCCAAGTCTCAGTGTTGGGCTGGTGAGAGGGGACCCCAGCAAGGGTGGGGGGAGCCCAGGGCTGGGCTGGCAGGGGCTGCGGGTCGGGAGTGAGGGGCACCGGCAGAGGTGTGAGGGTGGGGGTGTGCAGGGCTGGGCTGGGGGTCAGTTTGTTTTTGTAGGGTCTCCCTCGTTTCCTGACCAGCAAAGGAGGCCGGCGGGCGAGTTGGGGGTGGGAACCCGTTTATTTAAACTCACACAAGCCACATTAGATCTAAGAGCAACTGAAGAGCCGACCCCCAGATTGCCCCTTGGGGAGACAGAGCCAGACCCTCCCTGGGTCAGAAATAACCCCAGCCCGAGGGGGGGGGGCAGGGTGAGCTCCCCCCACGGCAGGACAGAGAGGTGTGGGGGCTAGTGGTTAGAGCAGGGGGGGGCCGGGCTGGGAGCCAGGATGCCTGGGTTCTCTTGAGGGGGGGTCTCAAAGGTAGTTCCCCCCGGGGAGGTTAGCTGGGGATAGACACTCCAGCCTTGGTGGGCTCGGCTTGGGCTGCTCGGAGCCGGTGGGCCCTGGGGTCTTGTGCCCAGGGGGGGTCTGTGAGGCAGGGAGGGGGGGCTGCGGTGGGGGGCAGGGCCAGGGCGGGGCCTGGGCTGGCTGCGGGGGGGCCGGGAACTTGTTCTCGTCCGTCTCGTAAAGGAACCAGTCATAGGAACCCTTTGGGCTGTCCAGGTGCAGAGCTGGGGGAAGGAGACAAAAGTCAGTGATGGAACCCAGGCGTCCTGGCTCCCAACCCCCCCACCTCTAACCACTAGACCCCACTCCCCTCCCAGAGCTGGGGAGAGAACCCAGGCGTCCGGGCTCCCAACCACTAGCCCCCACTCCCCTCCCAGAGAGGGGGAGAGAACCCAGGCGTCCGGGCTCCCAACCACTAGCCCCCACTCCCCTCCCA